AGTTCACAGGAAAGGGCAGGGTTTGGTGACGGCACTGCAGATGGGACTCACCAGTATCGTGGTTCCCTCCTAGGTTCAACTTTCCGTGTGGCATTTCAGGAGAAGGACCTGGCTTCCCTCCAGCCTGTTCACTCTACTCCATTTCCTCACTGCTCTTGGCTGGGCCGCAGGTTCTTCCCATACCAGCACTGGGGTATGATCTCGGGTGTGGGGGCCTGAGGGCCAAGTTTCGGGTCTGGAGGGAGTGGGATGACAAGGAGGCCCTATTGTCCCTTCCAAGCTTTGGGAAGGTTGACATGATATACCTGGGTCGACTTCTTCCTTCTGGGTTACTGGACCTCAGAATCAGTCTCCCCCACCTGTTTTACCACCTTGGCAGGGCCTTGCCATCAGGCCAGAAGCTTGGATTTAACTGTCAGCAGTAGAAGTATTGCTCGGTCTCCAGGTTGGAGCTCTCAGAGACAGGCCTTGCTGTTGACCTGCTTCTCATTGTGTTGAGCCATTTGCAGGTTTTCCCTCACAAGTGCCCCTAGGGTCTTCAGTTTCTTTCTTGACGGTATAACTTAGTTGTTCTGGAGTTCTGCCCTTCCCACATCCCACGGAGGAGATCCAGGATTCCCTATGACTGCCTCCTATGCAGTAATTCAAATGGGGAGAAACCTGTGTATCCCTGGGGAACCTCGCAGGCAGTGAGCAGGATAGGTGGGGTGGTCACAAGTCAGTGGATTGAACTATCACAACTCTTTAATGGTTTGTTAAACTGTTCCACCACGCTGTCGGTTTGGTGGTGCTATACTGACGTCTTCCAGGACTTGACCCATATCAAGTTGCGAAATTCGTTCACTACTGTGAGGTGACGTTTGTCACTTGCTCTGTCAATAATTCCTTGCAGGTCCCTACTCAGGCAAATACTTTTATGAGCTTACTGGCAAAGACAACTGCCATTTCTGACCAGAGGGGAATGGCCCCAGGGTCTCTGGTGGTACAATCCAGGATCACCAATGTATATTTGTACCTGGCTGCAGACATTTTCATCGGGCCCACCAGTTGGACACCTATCCATAAGAGCTTAAGAATGGCCATACTGGATCAGACCAATGGTCCATCTAGCCCAGTATCCTGTCTTCTGACAGGGCCCAATGCCAGATGCTTCCTAGGAAATGGACACAACAGGGCAATCATCCAGTGATCATTCCCCTGTTCCCCAATCCCAGCACCTGCCAATCAGAGGGACCCCTGCAGTGGGAAGTAGTACCGGGGGGGCCTTTGAGATCTTTTTCTGGCTCACCCACTGGCACCTGGGGCACGAGGCACAATAATCCCGTACCTCTGGGGTGGATGCCTGGCCAGTAGAACTCCATGGTCACTCTGTTGAGTGTCTGTTGAGTCAGCAGTGTGCCCTTGTTGCCAGGAAGGCCAATGGCATTTTGGGATGTATAAGTTGGGGCATAGCCAGCAGATCGAGGGACGTGATCATCCCCCTCTATTCGACATTGGTGAGGCCTCATCTGGAGTACTGTGTCCAGTTTTGGGCCCCACACTACAAGAAGGATGTGGATAAATTGGAGAGTCCAGCGAAGGGCAACAAAAATGATTAGGGGTCTGGAACACATGACTCATGAGGAGAGGCTGAGGGAACTGGGATTGTTTAGGCTGCAGAAGAGAAGAATGAGGGGGGATTTGATAGCTGCTTTCAACTACCTGAGAGGTGGTTCCAGAGAGGATGGTTCTAGACTATTCTCAGTGGTAGAAGAGGACAGGACAAGGAGTAATGGTCTCAAGTTGCAGTGGGGGAGGTTTAGGTTGGATATTAGGAAAAACTTTTTCACTAGGAGGGTGATGAAATACTGGAATGCGTTACCTAGGGAGGTGGTAGAATCTCCTTCCTTAGAAGTTTTTAAGGTCAGGCTTGACGAAGCCCTGGCTGGGATGATTTAATTGGGGATTGGTCCTGCTTTGAGCAGGGGGTTGGACTAGATGACCTCCTGAGGTCCCTTCCAACCCTGAGATTCTGTGATTCTTCTCTGTCCCCAAGAGCCCCGGCACAGCACTGCATGGGCCCATTGAAGCACCTCCTCTTTGGAAATTCATTGGTACCGAAGCTGCATTTGACCAGCCCTTGTCTCAGCGTGGTTCATCACCCGATATGATCTTTCCTCTAGCAGTTCAAAATAGGGCCACTATTTCAGCTGCTGTGGGTCTAACATTTTGTCATCCACATGGGTGAGACATTCATAAACCTGACTCAGGGTTGGGTCCCTCCTTTGCTCTCCCACAATGTTTATTTGCTAGACAGCAGGTCCAGGTTCAGAGGTGGAAGCAGGCCCCTATTCCTCCAGTTAAGTTCAGGTGAAAAGTCATTTTCCAATGAGGGTGGTCCTTCTCCTGGATCTTTGGCCTCCAGGGGAGCTGTCTCCTCATGGCACCTCCTCTTGGCTTCCATGGCCATCTACTGTCCTCCTGGTTCTTCCATTCCGCGCTTTAGTCCCTCTACAGATGCTCCAGGCCATCCGTGGACGTCCTCCCTGAAAAACTTCCAGTCATGCTGAAGTATGACCATATAGGCCAGGTCTTTGGCTACTCTGGCCTGTACTGGCTTGGTGTGGTCTTGCACAGTGAGTTGCACCAGTCTAATCGGACAGGGTTGTATGTCCCCGTGGATACACTGGAGGTAGATCATGCATCTAGATTCTCCTCCCAACCCCACCAACCACTCCCTGACTAAAGTCTGGCTGCAGCCAGAGTCTACCAGTCCTTGTACTTTTACTCCATTCACTAGCAAGGGGACTAATGTTTTCCCTGGGCCCCTTTTCTGAGCCCAGTTATCTGCTCTCTAGGCCTGCCCATAATTATAGTCCATGAATGGGCAGTCCCATCTGAAATGGCCTGGCTGCTCACATGCAACTAGCCCCCATGGGAAAAGGAGGTTTCACCATTAATTCTCCTGAGTGGGATGGCCCCATCTAATGAGGCTGCTCTGTTTGACCTAAATGGCTCTTGGCTAGCTGAGGGTGGGCTTCCAGGCTCCTCTATAGGCCTTTTTATCCCCCTCTACCAGGATTCAGTACCCAAATCCCCCTGGATAGCTTCAGTGAGGTGTGGGTCAGTGGTACTTGGGGCCCCAGGGCTGTACAAGACTAGCTTTTGGTATTTCAGCTATGGACCCAAGGGACATCAGGTAGCTCTCCACCATAGCAAAAGCCTCTTCCAAGGTCTCTAGTTGATGTCTCATAGAATCATAGAAGATCAGGGTTGGAAGAGACCTCAAAAGGTCATCTAGTCCAACCCCCTGCTCAAAGCAGGACCAATCTCCCACTCAAGCTCCCGCCCAGAGTTCAAAAGAGCAGAGCCCCGTGGGGTCTGCTGGTTGTGAGAAAAGTGGGTGCGGGGTTTGGAGACAGCACTGCCTGTGGGCCTCACCAACATCATGCTTCCATCCCAGCTCCAACCTTCCAAGTGGCTTTTCAGGAGAAAGATCTGTTTTCCTTTCAGCCCCCCCATTTTCTTTTTAACCAGCTCTTCCAGCTGAGGCATGCTTCACAAGCTGTGGGGGGCAGGGCTACCTGTGCCCAGTAATGTCCTTTAACCCCATCAGGCCCAGTGTGGGAATTGTGTACCCCATCACAGTTAAATACAATAGTATCAAGTTATGCCTGTGTTCATCATATCTGTCTGCCATTACATTGTTCACTCTATTCATGTATTCTAACCCTTCCCCCACCTGGTGTGTGTCTTGTCTGTATAGATCAGGGGTCTCAAACTCAACTGACCACGAGGGCCACACGAGGACTAGTATGTTGGCCCAAGGGCCGCACAGCTGACCATCCCCCCCGCTGCCCTGCCCCCACTCCACCCCTTCTGTTAGGCCCCACCCCTTCCCTGCCTCTTCCCACCCCTTCCCTGCCCCCATTCCAACCCCTCCCCACATTTCCCGGCCAATGGGAGCTTTGGGGGAGGTACCTGGAGGAGCGGCCAGGGCAACATAGAGACCCCTGTGGCCCCCCCGCCCCAGGTCCTGGCCGCTTTCCGGAGCGGCGCAGGGGCAGGGCAGGCAGGCAGGGAGCCTGCCCTGCCCCTCGTGTGCGCCAGGCCGGAGCTGCTCTAGGTAAATGCTGGGAGGGGGCAGGGGGACCGTGGGGAGCTGGCAGGCCGCAGAAAATAATCCATGCAGCCCATGGGCCGCATGTTTGAGACCCCTGATATACATTGTAAGTTCCTCAGGGCATGGACAATCTCATACTCTGTTTATACAGTGCCTAGGGGACCAATTTTTTATTCGCCCTTAGGCATTACTGTAATAAACCTGATTGATTATATAAACTGTCCTGCTGCTTGGATCCCAGGAAGCTGGCCTCGGGATGCTTAAAAATGAGTGGCGAGTAAAACCATGGACTGTTCTTTGTGACAAGTATCCCACAGATTCAGCTGATCTCTCTTGTTTTTGTTCTCTTATACAGGGTTTCCAGTTCCCAAACCTGATGTGATCTCCCGGCTGGAACGAGGGGAAGAGCCATGGGTCCCAGATCTCCAGGGCTCTGAGGAAAAAGAGCTCCAGAAAGGTGCCAAGACAGGTGAGGCATCCGTTAAACCGACTCAGAAACTGTCCATGAATGAAGGAAACATTTGGGATTCCGTACAAAGATCTTGCGACTTCTCCAAATTCAGATTTGTTCCCAGCAGGTGTGGCATCCTCATGGCAGATGTCACTCATGATTTCCCGCCTCTCCTGACTGACATAAGGCTGTAGCTCCCTCCTTAATATTCCTTCTTCCTGAATGGGCTGTGGACTGAGAATTGACCCTCTTCTCTCTGTCCTCCAGGGAAGGGCTTGGGGGGAGTGTGGGGGAGGGAAGAACGGTGGAAATTAAATTCTGTGTTGTTTGGTCTCTCCAGCACTTATTTGAGCTTGTTCCCACCTTTTCCCATTCCTCTCTCTGATGTTTCCTTTTTCCCTAGCACAGGGAGTGACCTATGTCTGGATTCTCTCTCTGTCTTTCCAGGAGATGGGATGGTGAGTGAGAACAAGGAGTATTCCCAGCAGGAAGATGCTGAGCAAGTTGAACCGCATGGGACATTAGCAGGAAGATCCACAGGGAAAGTTTCTTGGAGTTGTGCAAAGGCAAAAGCCTGTGAGAGTCAGCATAGGCCAGAGAAAAGCTTCCGTAGTGGCTCAGACCTTATTCGACATGAAAGAATTAATATAGGAAAGAGACCTTACACATGCTCTGAGTGTGGGAAAAGCTTTAGTCAGAGCTCAACCCTTATCACACATCACAGAGTTCACACTGGAGAGAGGCCGTACACATGCCCTGAATGTGGGAAAAGCTTCAGTCACGGCTCAGCCCTGATCACACATCAGAGAATCCACACTGGAGAGACACCCTTCACATGCCCTGAATGTGGGAAAAGCTTCAATCACAGTTCAAACCTCATCAAACATCGGAGAATCCACACAGGAGAGACACCGTACACGTGCTCTGAGTGTGGGAGAAGTTTCTGTCGGAGTTCAGCCCTTATCACACATCAGCGAATCCACACAGGTGAGACACCCTACTCGTGCTCTGAGTGCAGGAAAAGCTTCAGTGAGAGTTCAGATCTTATTAGGCATTGGATAATCCACACAGGAGAGAAACCCTACACATGCCCTGAGTGTGGGAAAAGCTTCAACCACAGCTCAAACCTGATCACACATCGGCGAATCCACACTGGAGAGACGCCCTATACCTGCCTTGAGTGCGGGAAAAGCTTCAGCCAGAGCTCACACCTTATCACACATCGGCGAATCCACACGGGAGAGCGACCCTACACGTGCTCTGAGTGTGGGAAAAGCTTCTGTCGAAGCTCAAACCTCATCACACATCAGAGAATCCATGTAGGGAAGACACTTTCCTCATGCTCTGAGTGTGGGAAAAGCTTCCGTCGGAGCTCAGCCCTTATTAGTCATCAGCGAATCCATAGAGGAGTGACAAACTACACATGCCCTGAGTGCGGGAAAAGCTTCAACCGGAGCTCACACCTCATTACACACTGGAGAATCCACACGGGAGAGAAACCCTACACATGCTCTGAGTGCGGGAAAAGCTTCAATCGGAACTCAAACCTGATCACACATCAGAGAGTCCACACAGGAGAAACACCCTACACATGCTCTGAGTGCGGGAAAAGCTTTAGTCAGAGCTCAACCCTCATCACACATCAGAGGATCCACACAGGAGAGAGACCCTTCACCTGCCCTGAGTGCGGGAAGAGTTTTAGTCAGAGCTCAACTTTCATCAAACATAAGAGAATCCACATAGGTGAGTAACGCCATAAATGTCTTGATTAGGGCTGGTCAAAGAATTTTTGTAAAATACATTAGCGAATTACCACAAAGTTTGCACAAGTTTTCTTCAGTGTGGTGTCTCAGCTCCACGTGAGTTGCCTGCCTCTATTTTGCTCCTCCCCCTTCTTTGGGGTGATTTTCCTAATCCTTTATATCAACTCCATTGTCTTTGGGAGTGTCCTCCTCCTGCCAGAAATATCCATCAGCTCCAGGTGCGGGAGATGGGGTTGACTTTGATTAGCTACACTGAGGTAAAAGTTACCTGTGCCTTGTCTCCACTGGGATTGTACATGGAGGTAGCTGCTCAGCTTAGCAATCTTCTTGTAACAACAAAAGTACATTTTCAGTGCAGTCATAACCCAAGTAGAGTGGCTGGGGTTAGCTTTCCCCTTGACCTGAGCTCACCTCCATCGTTTTTCCTAGTTTAGATAAACCCCGAGGATCACGTTGATACCATTCCCCCATTACAAAGTGATTGATAGTCACCGTGTTCCCCCTTGGGGACAGATTGTCTCAATCCCAGTTGTTCTCACCTTGCTCAGGGTTGTGCTGGACAGAAGTATTTTTTCTACAATTTTCCTCAATTAAAATAGATTGAAATAGAACAAAGAGCAGGAGTAGGAGGGGCGTGAAATGTGTCATTTGCAAATTGGATACAATTAACTTAGGTTTGAATAGAGACTGGGAATGGTTGATTCATTATAAAAAAAGAAAAGGAGTACTTGTGGCACCTTAGAGACTAACCAATTTATTTGAGCATGAGCTTTAGTCTCTAAGGTGCCACAAGTACTCCTTTTCTTTTTGCGAATACAGACTAACACGGCTGTTCCTCTGAAACCTGTCATTATAAAAAGTAACCTATTTCCCCTTGTTTATTCCCCCCCCCCCCCCCACTGTTCCTCAGACGTTCTTGTTAAACCCTGGATTTGTGCTGGAAATGGCCCACCTTGATTATCATACACATTGTAAGGAGAGTGATCACTTTAGATAAGCTGTTACCAGCAGGAGAGTGGGGTGGGGGGAAAGAAAACCTTTTGTAGTGATAAACACCCATTTTTTCATGGTCTGTGTGTATAAAAACATCTTTTGTATTTTCCACAGTATGCATCCGATGAAGTGAGCTGTAGCTCACAAAAGTTTATGCTCAAATAAATTGGTTAGTCTCTAAGGTGCCACAAGTACTCCTTTTCATTTCAGCCTCTGTGACACCTGAAGGAGATGGGGTGAGTCAAAGGGATTCCCACCTTCCCCATCACTTTCACAATCCCCTCTCACCCCAGCAGCATTAGCTTCTGTGTGAGCCACAATAGAGTTTATCCTCCCCACGTTTTACCCCTGCACCTCCCAGTGTGTTACATGATGCCGTATTCTGAGTGCTCTCTGTGCTTAGGTATCACACTTTGAACCTAAATCAGACTCGCTGGGGCTAGAGATGAAAGTGTCACAGACCTAGAAGGGGGATTTGAATAGATCCCAAACACAGAGTAATCATTCTGTGCTTTCATCTGTGCTTCCATCTATTGGCAAAGCTGCTTCTGGGCTTTTTCCTGCTGAGTTGGGATTGTTTGCAGATGGGAAGATTGGCTGCTTTTCCCCCTTGTGGTGAAGCAAATCTTTTGTACAGAACATGACATTAATAATGAGGTGGCACAGCGTGAAGAAAGTTTGAATGGACCAGAGGAGAACGCAATGGGAGAATCTGTTTTGATTTATCAGATATAACCAGCTCTTGAAATTCATTTTATATGAAACTAAAGGTGTTTTAAAGCCCTCTGTGTTGTGAGTTTTTCTCTTTCCTGAAGATGGTTTGGTCTCACAATTAGATATTACCTTTGTTTGACGGAATGTACCTCTGACTTACTGAGGATTTTGGGACAAATGACCATTTGGTACAACAGTAATTTCTTTCATTTGTGGCAGTGTATATATTATTAATATTGGCTAACACTACAGAAGTTACAGACTTTCTCTTTCCTAATCCCATCTGTATTGTAGTAACCAGGGATAGCACAACACTAAGAAGCTATTGTATTTAAGTGTATCTTACAAGCTTCTTGTATCTTAGTTTTCGCTAAGCTTGTATTGGGATGCTGGCTACAGTAGTGCTATGCGAACGCCTGTTCTCACTTTCAGGTGACATTGTAAATAAGAAGCAGGCAGTATTATCTCCTGCAAACATAAACAAACTTGTTTGTTTGAGCAATTAGCTGAACAAGAAGAAGGACTGAGTGGACTTGCAGCCTCTAAAATTTTACATTGTTTTATTTTTGAATGCAGGTTTTTTTGTACATAATTCTACATTTGTAAGTTCAACTTTCATGATAAACTGATTTCACTACAGTATTTGTATTAGGTGAATTGAAAAATACTTTTTCTTTTGTTTTTTTACAGTGCAAATATTTGTAATCAAAAATAAATATAAAGTGACCACTGTACACTTTGTATTCTGTGTTGTAACTGAAATCAATATATTTGAAAATGTAGAAAACATCCAAAATATTTAAATAAATGGTATTCTATTAATGTTTAACAGTGCGATTAATCGTGATTAATTTTGTTAATCGTGTGATTAATTTTTTTAATCGCTTGACAGCCCTAATGTTTACACTTCATTTGCCAGAGTTTATGCTCCTTTCTATTTTCCTCACTAGGATTTAACTTCCATTTTTTAAAGGATGCCTTTTTGCCTCTCACTGCTTCTTTTACTTTGTTGTTTAGCCATGGTGGCACTTTTCTGGTTCTCTTACTATGTTTTTTAATTTGGGGTATACATTTCAGTTGAGCCTCTATTATGGTGTCTTTAAAATGTTTCCATGCAGATTGCAGGGATTTCACTTTTTGCGTTGTACCTTTTAATTTCTGTTTAACTTTCTCATTTTTGTGTAGTTCCCCTTTCTGAAATTAAATGCTACAGTGCTGGGCTGCTGTGGTGTTTTAATTATATTATGGTCACTATTACCAAGCGGTCTAGCTATATTCCCCTCTTGGACCAGATCCTGTGCTCCACTTAGGACTAAATCAAGAATTGCATCTCCTCTTGTAGGTTCCAGGACTAGCTGCTCCAAGAAGCAGTCATCTAAGGTACCAAGAAACATTATCCCATCCTGCATCCTGTCCTGAGGTGACATATACCCAGTCAATATGGCGGTAGTTAAAATCCCCCATTATTATTGAGTTTTTTATTTTTATAGCCTCTCTCATCTCCCTGAGCATTTCACAGTCACTATCACTATCCTGATCAGGTGATCAGTAATATATCCCTACCGCTATATTCTTATTATTAGAGCATGGAATTACTATCCAGAGAGATTGTATGACACAGTTCAGTTCATTTAAGATTTTTATTTCATTTGATTCTACGCCTTCTTTCACATATAGAGCCACGCCCCCACCAGCACGACCTGGTCTGTCCTTCCGATATACTTTGTACCCTGGTATTACTATGTCCGATTGATTTTCCTCATTCCACCAAGTTTCTGTGATGCCTATTATATCAATATCCTCATTTAATACGAGGCACTCTAGTTCACCCATCTTATTATTTAGACTCCGAGCATTGGTATGTAAGCACTTTAAAAACTTGTCACTTTTCAGCTGTCTGCCATTACATGATGTAATTGAATGGGACTTTTTTAATTTGACTTTCTCATCAGATCCTACCTGTATTTTGTCTTCCATTCTCTCCTCCTTTACTAGGACATAATCTCCATTAATAGATCCTCCCCTAAGGGATGTCTCTGTCCGAACCACGTGCTCCTCCGCACTTGTCAGCTTTCCCCCTGCCCTTGGTTTAAAAACTGCTCTACGACCTTTTTAATGTTAAGTGCCAGCAGTCTGGTTCCATTTTGGGTTAGGTGAAGCCCATCCTTCCTGTATAGGCTCCCCCTTCCCCAAAAGTTTCCCTAGTTCCTAATAAATCTAAACCCCTCCTGCCTACACCATTATCTCCATCCACACATTGAGAGCCTGTAGTTCTGCCTGTCTAACTGGCCTTGCGCATGGAACTGGAAGCATTTCAGAGAATGCTACCATAGAGGTCCTGGACTTCAATCTCTTACCTAGCAGCCTAAATTTGGCCTCCAGGACCTCTCTCCTCTCCTTTCCCATGTCACTGGTACCTACATGTACCACAACCACCGACTCCTCCCCAGCACTAAAGTCTATCTAGATGTCTCGAGAGATCCGCAATCTTTGCACCAGGCAGGCAAGTCACCATGCGGTTCTCCCAGTCATTGCAAACCTAGCTATCTATGTTTCTGATGATCAGACTGCCCATTACTAATACCTGTCCCTTCCTAATATCTGGAGTTCCCTCCACCAGAAAGATATCCTCAGTGCGAGAGGTGGGATACTTCCAGTGGACTCCTGGGACCCCTGTCAAGCGGGGCCATATCTACACTGCAATGCAATGGGACCCAGAACCTGGATCTCGGATAAATCCAGCTTGGGCCCTGCAGGGTCCTCGGTCTGAGCCCTGGGTTAGTGCAACTGCAGTGTAGATACAAGGGGGATTAAGCTTGAGCCTGGGCTCAAGACCAGGTTTATGTTGCAGTGTAGACATAACCCAGAGACAAATGAACTCATGGAAATGGAAGGCACCTGTGTTAGTGGAGAACAGAGCACTACATGGGGCTTATTTGGAGGAAATGAGGATTGACAGAAAAATAATGCATATGATAAGATTTTGTAATCTTTGAATACGTTTGTTGTTACCAGTAATAATGGAATTAAACATGATGTTAATTATTACAGATTAAGAGACTGATTATGTGATAACCAGAATTATATTGTAAAACTGCAAATTATACTGGTTTTCTTCCCTTTTTTTTTTTTTTTTTGCATCAGTATTATAGGAAACGGTAACTAATACTCAAAAATTTATTTGATGTAATTCAGCCGCTTTGGATTAAGCAGTGCTGAACTAAAATCTCACTCCAAAGGGGTTGAGAGAAGTAGCATATAGGACAATAGACA